TTTTTTAATTAATTATTTAAACAAATAATTTATTTTTATTTTTATTTTAAAATAAATTTAATTCTTATTCTCTAATTTAAGCTACAAATTTAAAAATTTAGCTATTATAAAAAAAAAAAAGTTGATACATTTTACTACTCAAAATTTTATTTCGGAGATTTTACTCTTAAATTTAGCTAATAATGTCAAGCCTACGTCATCTTTCCGTTAATCATTTGCTCACCCGGCTTTAGTTGGGATTGAATAGGACCCCAATCTGAGATGATTTTGACTTTTAATTTTTACATGAAATTTATATGTCCATGGAACTGAAAAAAAAAAAAATCCATATTTTATTTCATTTTTTTTTTTTAAATTGAAAACCAACACATCTTATTATTTTATATATTAAGATCTTTTATAAAATTATTTAAATATTTTTCATAAATTTTTTAATATATTAATATATTAAATTTATTTTAATTTTTTATTTTTTTAACATTTTAATTATTAAAAAAATCTTAACTTTCCTCCATTCTATTAATTATTATTACATGTCAACATTAAAAAAAAAAAAAGATATTTTTTATATTCAATATTAAAAAATTTTTTACTAACAGTATATATTAATTACATACAGAAGTCATTATAGGTTAATGAAATTCACCATCTTTTTCATTCGTTTACATTCAAAAATTAGGGTTTGGTGATAGTACTCAAATCAAACCATTTATTTTTAAACTGCATTATTGCTTTTGATATATGGTTCAAGTGTTGAAATCTTTGGTTTCTTATGAAGCTTTTCAAAATTATTGTTGGTTAGGAGGTTCCAAATTAATTACAGGGTGTGAATGAAGTTGTTTGTCGTGTGGAATAAGTGAAAGTTATTTCATGATGTAATTCAAGGGCTGTGTTTTGTTTAGAGAAGGTGTATTACATTATATGATATTAAAAACAAAATTTTTTTTTTTTGTATATATTTAAATTTTAACTCAAATACTTAAATTTTTGCCAATTTTTTTTGGTATATAGCTAAATTGTATGGTATAGTTTGATTGGTTTAATTTGATTGTATTTTTGCTTGACATGTAGATTCTTTTGTCCTTTGTAGGAATATTTTTGAGGTTCAAATGTTGCTTTCTAATGTTCCAAGAGATCTTAGATTTGATGTTAGATCATAAAAGGCTTTTACTTATTTTACTAGCGTTCAGTTCAAATACAAAAATTTAAATTTGATCATATAATGTGGCGCTAGTATTTCATTTGAATTATTATATTATGATTCATCATTTTTAAATTAGCAACCCTTGTGAGTAATACATATTATATGGTTAGATTATATGCTTTTTCTTATACATGGACTACAGATGATACAAATTGTTTGCCTTTAATATGAATAATGGTATTTGGCTTCCCAAATTGGAGGTTGAACAATTTTATGTGTGAAATTTATGGCTTTGTGAGCTTGGTCTTGTTAATCTTCATAAAATAATAAATGAAATATTATAGGATAATGTCCCACTTTATCAACTTTTTTGTGTTGTTTCTTTTTCTCTTAACAATCTCATACAGGCTATCCTTTAACTCTTAAACATTCAATGGTTCTTATTATTCTTTCGTGTTTTGTGCTAATCATTGATTATTATTTGATTTAAATTGTGTATATGGTTAGCAAATTAGTCCATGCATCAACAACAGGCGCAACTATCACATTGTTTACTTTTGGAGTCATTTTTTAAAAAAGATATAAGTCTAAAAATCACATATCTAATGCATCTAATGCATATAGAGACTTAGAGAGACTTTATTACTCTTATATAGATAACATTTCATATAGAGGTGAGCAACATTGCATAAATCAAATATGGATTGGACTAGTAACTTTCTCCAAATTATGTGATGTTCTTACATGATATATAGATGATCAATTTTGATTAGAGAGAAAGTAATGATGTTTTTACATCTTGTTGGACATCATGTGTGGTTGAGAGTAGTTGGCTTAACATTTTTTAGATCTATTGAAATTGTTTATCGATATTTTTTAGTTGTCTAACAAGCAAATTTTGAAGTTTCATGAACAAGTCATAAGGCTATTAAATGATTTCGTTCCTCCAAAGATAAGGAATACTCAACAATTCTATCCTTCCTTTAAGGTATGATCTAATTTTTGTTATAATTTTTCTCCTAACAATTGATTTATTTTGGGTGACTATAAATTATTAATATTAAATGTCAATAGGATTACATGTAAGGATTAAATGGAACTCACATTCCATGTACAATTCCTTTTGAAATTCAAGGAAACTTTTCATGGTTAAAAAGACAATATAACCCACAACGTTTTTTGCAAGTCACTTTTGACTTAAAATTTGCATATGTATTAATTAGTTAAGAAGGAAGTGCACATAGCTATTATATTCTAAATGATTCACTCTCAAGGCTAACAGAGTCAAGAATTCCCAAAGGTAAAACTAGAAATAAAAAATTAATTTTATTTATTAATAATATTTATTTTAAAGAGAATTAATTGTTCTTTTCTTGAATTGATAGGAAATTATTACCTTAGTGCTATTAGATATGGCATTTGAAATGGAATCATCTCTCTTACTTATTGTGGGGTTTGATACCATTTGAAAGAATACAATGATCCTCCACCACAAAATGAAAAGAAGTTTAATCTTTGCCATGTTAAACTACAAAATCCAGTTGAGCAAACTTTTGCAATTTCAAAGAAGTGGTTTTGTATTCTAGATGATTTAGTAATATATTAGTTATGACACTTCAAACCCACATCAAGATGGAATTATGAGTGTGAGTGGTATATAAGTGTGAAAATCAACCACCAAAAACAACTTAAATATAAGCTTTTAAGGGCCCATGGACCTTGGCCTCAAGAGTTGTTGGGCCATTGGTGGGTTTTGGGCCAAGTCATTTCAATTAGTATCAAAACAATTATCTTTTGTAAACATGGGCTCATACTACCACCATGGTTGGTGTGTTCTATGCTTGTGGGTCAATACCATACATTAGAATGGAATCATGAGTTACTTATCATCATGGTTGGTGTGTTCTATGCTTGTGGGTCAATATCCTACATTAGAATGGAATCATGAGTTACTTGTGTATGATTGGAGATCGTGACACCCCAAATCCCACATTAGGATAGGATCATAAGTGTGAGTGATATGTAAGTGTAGAGATTAACTACTACTAACAACTTGGGTTTAAACTTTTAAGAGCTTATGGATCTTGATCCAAAATGTTGTTAAATCAATGGTGGGCTTCAACCCTAGTCATTTCATTTGTCATTTTGGACTTTAGTCAAGATGGTATTGTCCTGTTTTGTCATGTTGCATTCTTCATAATTTTATCATTGGAGTTGGTCTTGATAACACAATTAATCAAGAACCATTTGATGAAAATAGTGATCATGCAAGGTGATCAAAAGCTTATCACACACAAAATAGAGAGAAGAAATTAGAGAATGGAGGACAACAAAAAATAACATAGCACGTGCAATGTGGGATGACTATTTAGCAAGAAGGATGAGGGTGTGACTTTTTTTATATATTTAAATTTATTTTTGAATTTTTTGAAGTTCTAACAGTTGTTAAATTTCTTATAACTTGTAAAATTTCTATAAGTTTTTCTATATTCAAGCTGCCTCCAAAAGTGTTTCAAACATCAAAAAAGAATAAGGTTGAAAACTTTTTAATTTTGTTTTCAAGTAATCAATTTTTGTCATTCTCAATTTCTAAATTATTTAATCTTAAATTTAAATATTAAACCCTAAGTTTTCTTTTTGAAAAAAGTCAAAACTTAAACTCCAAAATATAAGTCT